GTAATGCTTGATTTCTGTTTTAATTTGTTCATTGATCCATTGATATTTTGAAGAATGTTGTTTAGCCTCCATGTATTTGTGGCCTTTTTGTTTTCTTGTTGTAATTTACTTCTATTTTCATACCATTTGGACTGAATAATTAGTTGCTTGATACAGTTTCAGTCTTTTTTAATTTATTGAGGCTTTTTGTGACCTAGTGTGTGATCTATTCTGGAGAATATTCCATGTACACTTGAAAAAAGTGTGTAACCTGCTGCTTTTGGGTGGAGTGTTCTATAGATCTAATGTATTGTTCATTGTCTCTGTTTCCTTATTTATTTCTTGTCTTGTTGATCTGTTGAAGTGGGTGGTGTGTTAAAGTCTCCTACAATTAATGTGTTGCAATCGGTTTCCCCCTTTACTTCTTTTAGTATTGTTTTACATATTTAGGTTCTCCGGTGTTGGATGCAGATATTTATAATGCCTATATCCTCTTGTTGGACCGATATTATGTAATATCCTTTTTCTCCTGTTACTTTCTTTGTTTTGAAATCTTTTTTGTCTGATATAAGAACTGCTACTCCTGCTTTTTTCTCCCTATTGTTTGCAAGAAATATCTTTTTCCATCCCTTCACTTTTAGTCTGTGTATGTCTTTGGGTCTGAAATTAGTCTCTTGTAGGCAGCATATAGATGGGTCTTGTTTCTTCATCCATTCTGACACTCTGAGTCTTTTGATTGGTATATTCAGTCTATTTTCATTTAAGGTGATTACTGATAAGCATGTACTTACTGACACTTTATTGTTTTCTGGTTGTTGTTATAGCTCCTCTCTGTTCCTTTCTTCCTCTCTCTCTTCTCTTGTTATTTAATGGCTTTCTTTAGTGTTGTGATTGGATTCCTCTTTTTAAAATTTTTGTGTATTTATTACAGGCTTTAGGTTTGTGGTTACTATAAGGCTCAAGGATAGCTTCCTGACTATATAAACAGTCTGTATTAGGTTTATGATTTCTCTATTTCAAACACAGTCTTAAAGTACTTCTTTTCTTCTTCTTCCTCCTCTATATTTATGTATTAGACATTATAATCTGCACTTTTTATGTATTCCTTGAGTGATTTTTTTTGTATAGTTGTTTTTGTTTTGTTTTAATTTCATACTTGCTTGGTAAGTAATTGGTCTACTATCTTTACTGTGGGTTTATTTTCACTAGTGAAAATTACTTAGCCTTAGGGTCATTTCCATCTATAGTAGTCCCTTTAAAATATTCTGTAATGCTGGCTTAATGTTTTTACTAATGGTTATAAATTCCTTGAGCCTTTTATCTGGGAAATGTTTAATCTCTTTTTTGAATTTGAATGATAATCTTCCTGGGTAGTAGATTCTTAGTTGAAGGTCCTTCTATTTCAGTATGTTAAATATTTCATGCCACTCCTTCTTGCGCTGTAAAGTTTCTGCTGAGAAGTTTGCTGGTAGACTGATGGGGTTTCCCTTACAAGTAATCTTTTTTCTCTCTGACTGCTTTCAATACTCCTTATCCTTAATCTTTGACATTTTAATTATTATATGTCTTAGTGTTGCCTTCCTGGGGGGGGTTCCTTTTGTTAGGGTCTCTCTGTGGGTCTATGACCTGAGTGTCTATTTCCTTTCCCAGGTTGGGGAGGTTTTCAACAGTTACTTCCTCAAAGAGACTTTCTATCCCTTTGTCTCTCTCTTCTCCTTCTGGTACCCCTATCATGTGATCATTGTTTCACTTGGATTGGTCACACAGCTCTCTTACCATTTTTTTCATTCCTAGAGATCCTTTTTTCTCTCTGTTATTCAGCTTCTTGTGTTTCTGCTCTCTAATTTCCATCTCATTGATCGTCTCCTCTACTTACAGCAATCTATTATTCATTCCCTCCACTGTATATTTCATTTCAGTTACTGTATTCTTCAGCTCTGAGTGGCTCTTTTTCAGTTCTTGTATCTCTTTGTTGAAGTCCTCCCTGAGAGGCTCTTTTTCAGTTCTTGTATCTCTTTGTTGAAGTCCTCCCTGAGAATTTCAATACTTTTCCACAGGTCAGTGAGCATATTTATGACTGTTACTTTGAAATCTTTATCTGGAAGATTGGTGATATCTATTTTATTTAGGCCTCTTTATGGTGTCTTGTCCTGTAGTTTTTTTTTGGAACTTATTCCTTTGCCTCCTCATTTTGTTAGGGTTTCTGTATTTCTTCCTTTGTATTAGATGGTCTGTGCTTTCTGAGAGTAATGGCTTTATGAGGAAGGCATCCTGTGTTGCCCAAAAGCTCAGGACTCTTCTCTCCAGTGCCTGGTTCTCTTTTGCAGTGGAGCCTCAGTTGCTGTTGGTGGGCAGTCTGTGGGACCACTTTTCTGTCTGTCTGTTAGCCATCCCCTGTGGCTGGCAGTTTGCCTCAGCAGGCCTTTTGTGATCAGCTGTGACCTCTGCTAGGATTCTTGTGGGTGGGGCTGTTAGGGCAAATGGAGTCATTGGGGTAGTCACGCAGCAAGCTGCACAGTGGTAGGGCACAGGGCATGTGGTTGTGAGGCAGGGAGCCCCATGGTGGGAGGGTGTGCAGAGGCAGTGAGTTGCACAGGTGCTGCCTAGTGGCAGTAAGGTGTGCAGCACCAAGCTTGGCCACCTGCTGGGAGGAAGGAGAGCTCAGGGCTGGCTCCTGCAGGCACCTCCCCAGTTGAGAGGGCCATGAAAGCTGGGAGAGCCTCCCTCAGCCTGCCAGGCAGCAATATCTGACACTGCTGGGCTGAGAAGGCTGGTGCACTGGGATGGAGCCACTGGTAAGGCGGATGAAGTGTCTGGGGCTCCTGAAAGTGCCCCTCCTGTTGGACTGAGGGAAGGCTGGGGAGGTATCATCCACCTGCCCTTTCCCCTGTGGAGAGAGCTCAGTTCAGCTCTTGCCGCTCTAGCACCTCTCCCACTGCTGGCAACTCTTTCAAACTGCCACTTGTGTTGGGTCCCAGTGGGACCAGCAAAGCACACCTGTCCTCCATAGGCAACTGGTGTCTCAGCCTCCCAGAACATTCCAGCTGTCCCTGGTATCCAGTCCTGCTAATCACCAGAACCCAATGCAGTGTGGACACGTGCTCCCAGAGCAGATCTCTAGGGCCAGGTGTGCAGAGTTCCTGGGCTCCTACCTCCTTTCTGCTCCATTCCTCTTCCTCCCACCTGTGGGCTGGGATGAAGGAACGGTTCAGGTCCTGCTTCACCACAGCTCTGCCACTTTATCCTTTTCTGTGAGGTCTTCTCTTCGCCACATGTAAGCAGTCTATTCTGCAGTCCTTAGGTCGTTTTCAGGTCTAGTTGTGTTCACTGTAGTTGCTCCCTCGGATGTGTGTGTGTGTATATGTGTGTGTGTGTGTGTGTGTGACATAACTTTTTCCTCACCAGGTCTAGTTGTATTTACTGTAGTTGCTCCCTCGGTGTGTGTGTGTGTGTGAACATAATTTTTTCCTCACCTTTCACTGTAGTTGCTCCCTCGGATGTGTGTGTGTGTATATGTGTGTGTGTGTGTGTGTGTGACATAACTTTTTCCTCACCAGGTCTAGTTGTATTTACTGTAGTTGCTCCCTCGGTGTGTGTGTGTGTGTGAACATAATTTTTTCCTCACCTTCTTTGTCTTTAACCCAGGTGTTCAACATAAATAATGAAAAATTATCAGGCTTCAGGAAAAAGCTGGGTGATGTGTGGTTACCAGATTTCAGGTTGGAGAAGAAGTCTTGGCCAGTGACACGGGATGGCTTCTAATAGTGACTTTTTTGTTTATTGTTAAGTAATATTTTCTGAAAAAGGAGTTTTGTGGATGAGTGGTTTTTAGAAAATTAAGTATTTCCTTCCAACCCTGCATTGGCATCAGTTCCATCTGTGGGTCACTCGGGAGGAGCCTCTGGCAGGTATTGCAGGGCCCTGGAATCATCGAGATTAATATTATCGACCTCAGCAGAGATGCAGGAAAGTACCTATAAATAGACCCCTGGCTAACAAGCTGCTCCTTATCCTGCCATCATGGTTGTTTGGTAACAGCCAGGTATAGACATGGGGATAAAAGCCAGCCCTCACTTAGGAATGAGACGAGGATCTTCACTTCTGGGTGAGGCTTTCAGCTCTGGGAACTGCAAAGTCAACCTTGGAACGGAGGTGATAGGACGCAGCCAGGCCACAGTCTCTGGCAGTGTGGTATTGGATTCCCAAGGGTGTCAGTCATTGGCACTTGAGAGGGTTCCCAGGACCAGGGGTGGGCATGTGTTTGAAAAATCCAGTTCCATATAAATGTCCCTATTGCTTTTACAATAAAATCTTCAAGAAGTGTGACCTGCTAAGGATATACAGGAGATCTGTTTTGTCTGATGAGGATACAGAGGAAAGTACAAAAGCATTGTAATGGGAATGGGCTAAAAAGCATCCATCTAAATGATTCCTCAGGGTGGGACAGGCTCACAAATGCCCACGACTGCATGGCCTTCCATTGTAGGCATTAGAGAAGGAAGCTCATGAGCTGCTTTCATGTGGAAAAGATAGATCACAAACCAACAGTGCTGAGAATCTTCTTTTTTCTCTTTCCCTTTTTGAACTTGTAATTCCTGCTTTATGTGATCTTCAACAATGGCTAATGTTGGTTTCAGTATGTCTTGTTCCTCTGAGAGCAGAACCTGTCAACATTCTAGTCTTCCTTTGTTCATTTACACATTCAGTCTTGCTTTCCAATTTATCGTGAGGTTTTGCTCGGGGCCAGGTCTCATGCCAGGCCCTGTGCTGGGTGCTGGGCGAGAATGACGAACAAGATAAACACGGCTCTCACCTTCAGGAAATTAACTATGTAAAGGGAGAGGAAGCAGTACAAATGCAATAAATGTTTAGAAGTTCAAGGTGCTATGGGTACCTGGTCAGAAGGTGGTCAGGGAAAACCTTCCAAAAGGTGATGTTTAAACTAAAAACTGAAGCATAATCAGAAGTTTGTAAAGTCACCCTGAACAAGAAACAACTGTCTGCTTTCTTTTCTATCACAGGTTCCCGCATCCTGGTCTTCTTAGAAACCTACCTTGCCTCTGGTCATCAGAAGCCTTTGCCCACAGTACCTGGGGGATTGGGTCCAGTTCAAAATGAGCTGGAGGAAGTTGCTATTAAATTCGTTCGCCTGGTCAACTATAACAAGATGGTCTTCAGTCCCTACTATGATGCAATCCTCAGTAAGATCCTTGTCAGATCCTAACACGTATGTTCCCTCAGCAGCAGTATTACCCACTCAACTCAGAATACCTGTTCCCAACTATAATGTTCCTTTGGATAATGGCTATTTAGTACATTTCTATTTAACAGCACTGATTCCAAAAGGAAGAATATTGTGTATCACTGTTGAAAAGACTTATTGAAAATGTACTGAATTCTATTTTGAGGGTTTGTATTTATGAGTGAAAGTTTACAAATCAAAGCTTTTTGTGATCTTGTGTTTCATAGGTAGCACTCAGCTTTTGAATGGTTGACTGTATCATGATTTTAGCTGCCTGTCTCTCCCAGGAGGCTGGGACCTCTCTTCTGTCATCTGGGTAGTTTTTCATTCAGATACCCAGGAGTATCTTACAGTCCCCTAAGAGTAAAAGAAATTAAGCCATGACTGTGCTGCGATTCACTGTCACAGCCCCCGACTTCTCTCCCTCCAGCTATTTTTGTGGAAAGGCTGTATATAGTCTTACTGTCTTTTTCCCCCTCTATTTATTGCTTTCTTCCTGCCTGGCCTAGCCAGAGCCCCAGAGACCTTTTGTTCTAGAGGAGAGTTACTTGATTTTAAAAATAAGCTTATTCTTTTAAACAAAATTACTCCTGAGATTGGATGATGGCAGTTATTACTTATGGGATCTAGAGAAAGGAAATCCATTGACATCTAGGCCTTGAAAGTTAAGAGGAAATACATATATTTTTAAAAATATATATTAGTGTAATATAAAAGAAGATGAATTCTGGAATTTTTACTGAAAAATTCCACTTTGATACAATACCACAGATGTTTTGGTTGAACTACAATTCCAGAATTAGATTTAAGTGTTTTCAGATAAAGTAGGGTAAGCCCACTTATTTTTTGGATAAGGAAGTCATATAAAGTACCTGGTTTTTAAGCAGTGTTTTTTGAGGCACTTTAGTGACCAGAATTCCTGATATATCCTGTGACTGGAAGGGTAGTTTGGGTCTCGCAGATGACCTAAAAAAACTTAAATGCATGCATATGCATGTGTGTATTTTAGACAGGGACATTACATTAGAAGCAGAGCCATGAAATTTTTGGAATGATCTTCAACCACCAGCCAGCAGGGGGTGAAATAATGCAAGGAATCCCTTTATTAAAGCCGATTTAGGATGGAGTGGGAATGGGATTAGAGACTGCCAGAGGAACATTCAGCCCACAGACTGTCTAGTGACACCAGGTTTCCAAGGAGTGACCGGTTGTACTGGGGGGGAATGTGATTTCTCCAAATACATGCTACAAACTGCTCTAATGGTGTTTTTTACTTGCAGTCAGAAATGTATGCTGCGTTATGTGGTCAGAGTCATATTATTAAAGTTAGGACTCAAGGACAAATCTTCCCTCATGTCATTGGAAGGGAATAAAAGTTTAGTAAGTAGAACTTTTAAAGAACAAAACCACATCTCTTGTAATGTATTCAGTGAGGCCCCTTCTGGAATAGTTTCTGGAGGTCAGGTCGCTCTGGCAGCTGTGCTTACTGGTTGTACGTCATTAGGTTCCTGGACGGGGAGCCAGAGCTCCTAGGGCAGCACTCTCTCGCCTGCCTCAGCCGCAGAGTTCAGGGATTTTTTCCCTCCAAGGATGAGGCAACACACAGGGTGGATTACCACTTCTGGCAGTCATTCTTTTTGCCTTCTTTGTAAGACTTAACTCTTGAAAGATTTTTTTTTTTTTCACCTCATGGGTTCCTAAATTGACAGTTAAGTTTGGACAGTTTGAAATCTTGCTGCATATATAACAGGGAGCTTCACAGACTCTTGTGGTCGCCCCTCCCCCTGCCCCGTCACTACCTCAGTGACCGCTCATGGAGTTCTGCAAGTGGCAAAAGCGAAGAATGAAGGAGGCAAAGTTCAGAACCGCAATATTCATATTGAATCATTTTGTTGTTGCTCTTTAAAAACAAATGAGCTGATTTTCTTCCTGGAATCTCAGAGGATTATCACAAAGGGCCAGGAAAATTAATTTAGTTCATTTAGTCACCCAGGAGCGTTTATTAAGCATCTACTTATAACTACCCCACTACAGCTGTCCCTCCCAGACAAAATATACTTTGGCATAGAAATTATCCTGTAGAATCGAATTGGTTCTGTGTACTGCATATTGATTGGATTTGACAGGATTTCCTGTCTAATAGGTTTGTGGAAACAAGTTTCTTTTATGAAAGTGCTAAGTTTATTTGGCAGAATTTCATTACACATGGATAGAATTGAATACCTTGAAAGGTCAGTAGCAGCAAGTCTGTTAGCTTTGATAGTTGAATGAATGAATGAATGAATGAATGACAGCAGTAACTGCTACTCTGTCAGCTCTCTGTTGGGTGGATGCGTGCATGGATTCACAACCTAGGCGTTTTTATAAAATGTCATTACTCTTAAAGCAGCTGTAAAATATGATTGTTTATGTAACCATATAACCCAATTACAAATATAATTTATTTCAGGCAAGAACCACACTGATATGTTTTACTGATTAAATGTAGCAAACAGGTATATAAGAACTATTTTCTTTGTGAAGAAAAGTTACCAGTAAGTTTGACATTATAAGGCATGTAATGTACACATACTGGCTGACGATTCTACGTGGATTCTTCAGCAGTTTTGTTTTTGTGGAGGTGCTTATTTTAGTTTCCCCAAAGCCTTAAAATTCCTGGGAATAGAAAGGTGTTGCTGCCATGAACTTTCCTGCTGCGTTTCAGCGGGAATAAGTATTCACTGTTTAATTTCCAGTGATCTTCTGGCATGGCCTGATTTATATATATATATATANATATATATATATATATATATATATATATTCTTTAACTGTATTTCTTTTAATTTTAGGCAGGGTGTTACAGTGAAAAGACTGGGAGCATTCAAGAAACCAAAGTTCTGATCTCATTTCTGTCATGTACAGAACAAATCAGGACCTATTTCCAACTAATTCTGTGCTAAACAGAATAATTCCAACTATTCTGTGCTAAACCTGACTTGAATAACTTGAGGCTGCCGAAGGATTGTGCACAAAGCTCCTGATTTAGAAGATCTGGGCTAGAGCCTTTCTTCTGTTGCCTTTTTTCTGGTTGTATGATATTGGCCCAGTCTTCCTCAGGCCTTAGTTGTTTTCATCTGTAAAATGGGAACACTACCAACTCACACTTCATGTGAGGATTAAATTTGATAATGGATATAGTGCTTTGTACATGGAAAGGGACTATAAATTGCTTTATAAACAACAAAGGAGAGCATATAACCCTCTGTAGGTGCACGTTTGTTATGATAGATTCAACCTTTGCTGTCCAGCCTCCCTTCAGTCAAATGCGTTTTACAGACCTATATGGAAGGTTTTTTCTTCTGTTCCAAAACTGTTCTCTCATCATCTCTTCTGACTAGAGCTGCAATTTCTTATCTCCCAACATTTCCCTCAGCCCCAGTGGTTTCTCCCTACCTCCACCTCTGTTATTTGAACTAAATGAATGCATGAGTGCACAAATGAATGGATGAATGATGATGGGTGATGAAATTCATATTTAATGGCACTATCTCATTGAAAACATATCTAAATAAAGAACTACAATGATATTTGCAATTGTGTACTTATATTACATTTTGTATTTTAATGGATGGCCTTTTTACTCATAGTATGCAAAGCAGCTTCATGGAATGGGGAAGGTGAAAACCTGTAAGGTGTAATAAGCTCTATACTTTCAGAAATAACTGGAATCCTAGAAAATAAGCAGCAGAGACCTAAACAGGCAGAATTTTACTTAAAATTCCCCTTAATGTGGGTTTCCATCATATGTGACTGTATTGCCTTGTGAGTCTAAGAACCAGAACTAATGCGTAAGGCTGGTTGTTGGAGTGTCACTTATTTAATTTTGAAACTAGATGTGTCTGGAGATAGTTGCAAGTCAGATTTCACCATTTTTATGTTTATCTGAACTAAACATCGAGAACCTTTAAGTGTAACTCCTGGTAAAAGCAACCTGAAAGTTGCTTTTTTTCCCTCACTCACATCACCTCTGCTTTTTAAGTTACTGTCTTCCTTATGCTCAAAGCAGAACTTTAATCAGGGCTCAGACAGGGAAGAAAATTTAGATAACTGCTAAGTTGTTTTCATTCCCAAAGCTTGGTGAGCTGACACTTCTGTTGAATATTTAAGATTTTACTTTACTTACATCAGTAACATGGTACATGATTTTTTATTAAATACAACTTGACTTGCTGAATGTCAGAGTAAAGAGAGAACTACCAACATAATGTTTAGTGTGAGAATTGAAATGTAAAAAGCAAAATTTATGAACATGGTGATTATACTTTTTACTATCATATAAATGGACTTAGTTTTACATATTAAGTACAGGTCAATAGAGGGTTATAAAATTACCAAATAAATTCATAATTATTGACCAAGGGTAATATGTTAACAAAAGTGATGTCTTTTTTCATTCTTTTCCAGTGGTACAATTTAGTTGTTCAGTTTTACATTTACTAGCTAGCTATAACCTTCTATTTTACCATGTGTGGCAACATAAATATAACCTCGTTTGAAACTTTGTGTTAAAGGCCGGTGATTTTTGTTCTAGAACTGTCATTTACCCATTCTATAGTTGTCTAGAAAATGTCATTGCTTTTATAAAAGGAAAAATATGGCTATCTTTTGGCAATTTCCCTGGGTCCCGCAATAACAGATACATGACAGCTCTTGGATATTTGTAGGATTGGCTATACCTTAAGAGTCTGCCTATTAGATTTCCAGAAGTAAGTCCAGATTTCTAACATCATGCTACTTGTTCAACTGGTTTACTAAAGGAAATACCAAATATTCAGAACAATATTTAAAACTAAAAATTCACATAAATATCTATAACAGAATATTAGAAAATGATTTAACAAGAAATACTCATTTTTATGTTTAAAAATCAGATAATTTTAAAAAGAAATATTAGAAATAAATGCAGTAGGAAAATTGTAACACAAATAATGGCCTTTAGATTGTTTAATGGCACTTTTCACCAAGATGTGTTTTCTCTTTACTGCAGTGCTAAAAAACATTTTTATGCACATACACATGGCTTTGTCATTTATGGGAGCACTATTACAGACTTACAGATATGTACAACAACTTCTATCTTCTTTAAAACACTACCCAAAGATAGCTTCACTTCAGGAAAGATTCCATAGCATACTGTATTTTAAAGTCTATATATGGTACTATGTGCCTTTCAGATTGTTTTGTTGATAACCATGATATAAAAAAACCCACCCAGCTTGAAAGTGATACTCAAGAGGATAAAATATGACAGAGCCAGCTGTTCTGAGGCAATTTTAGCTTTAAGAGGAATATACAAGAGACACACGCTCCTGATTGACTTATGTAAATATAAGAATTTATGTAAGAAAATGGTTCAATATAACCTTTTTTCTAGTACAAGTAGTTTTATAGAAACATTTAATCCTGATTTTAAAATGTAAAATTAATATTGTCACTTTTGAATTCAAATTCTAAATTGTGTACCCAATATGTAAAATATTTATTTTATATATTATATAATATATATTATTTTATATAATATAAATTATATATTATAATTTATAACCATTATAATTGCCCTCCCTTATTTTCCTTCCTGATTTTTACCTTTTGTTCTTAATCATAACCTTTAGACTCAACTAGTTTTCTGTCTAGTAGTTTTTCTAGAAATGAGTCAGAAGGACGTAATATTACTAAAAAAGAGCAAAACCTAATTCTTTGGACTTTACATGACAAACTTTTGCTCCTTGTTATTAGGATATGGTGAATTAGCTGTGTTTTCTGTAATGCTGTGTTTAGCTCTTGAAAAAATGTTCTTGAGCTTTGTGAGAACAAGATGGCAGTTAAAGGAGTTCCCATACATTTCTTTTAAGAGAGATGAATGATAAAATATCTCAATCTGCCTCCTATTAATTTGAGGGGGAAAGGGCATTCATATTTGAGGATTTCCAAAATGTTTAATTTGCCTCTTAAAAATGGATCCTTCAGAACAAAACAGCAGTGGAATCACAGAACCCAAGAATGGACTAACAGGTACCAAAGGGAAAGGGACTGAGGAGGATGGGTGGGTAGGGAGGGATAAGGGGTGGGAAGAAAAAGGGGGG